CGATAGATATTTGAAACACAGTGTGCATGGCTCGTTGGATGTAAATCTGATGACCTGCTCTGTCACCCTTCATCTCATTCCCCAACGCTGGTTTTCTTTTTAAGAAATAAAATGATGTGTTAATAATAATCATAAATATTATTTTTTAATGGATGAAGGAATGAATGCCCATAGGTTAAAAGCTGAAATTGGACCAATACCTTGCCTTAGAACAGCGGTTCTCAACCTGTGGGTTGCGATCCCTTTGGGGGTCGAATGACCCTTTCAAAGGAGTTGCCTGATTCATAACAGTAGCAAAATGGCAGTGATGAAGTAGCAACGAAAATAATCTTATGGTTGGGGGGTCACCACCACATGAGGAGCTGTATGAAAGGGTGGCGGCGTGAGGAAGGTTGAGAAGCACTGCTCTGGAACAACAAAGGAAAGCATGCCACTTCAAATTGCATAGTTGAACCTACTGGGGAGAAAACAGTAACGCAAACTCAAAACTTACTTTAATAGCTTGTAATAGGCAAACCGGAAGGCTTCTTGGATAATGACTGAGACCAGTACTCCGAAAACAAGCACATACTCCTGTACCCGTCCACCTCTGTGGCCAGTAATGGTTTCTGCCATGAACCAAACCAGGGAGGAAATCAGGAGAGACACCAGCCAGAAGAAAGCGCTGAGAATGAGGAGGGAAAAGTTACAAGTGAATAAAGTGCAGTATTAATAAAATTGCTTTTAAAAAGACCCTGCTTGAGAAGGATTGCCTGGCTCTTTAGTGTGTACAGGGGTTGTGGTGAAGGTCAGGATCCCCGGCTCCTGTATTCCACGGTGACCCCTCTTCAAGTGGTCCAAGAGGAATGTGGGATTTTTCTAACAATACCTCTTCCTCAGGGACCCCATCATTTGTCATGTACAACTGCGGACCCCCTCTGTCAAAGACGGTGTCAGGTTGGAAGATTAGCTACTTTTCTTAGTCAACGCTGTCAATCGATGTATCCAAACAATCAAATATGCAACCAATGGCTACTGTGATTTTTATAACCTTAGAGCCTACAGGAAACGACTGGTCTGAGACATGCAAATATATCTAGACAATATGTCAATATATCAGTAGAATGACTGGTATCAAAATCCAGAGGTGGGGAAAATCAAGTGCTTGGAGACAGACCGGTTTCCCAGGCCGGGTTTTCACAACCACCGAAGGTGATTCTTGAAGATCACTGCAAGCTTCACAAACGCTGTGCCCACAGCTCTAATATTCTATGAAACGATACGGCACCCGGTGCAGCGTTGCGGCTTCGCCTGGAAGCGAGACTAAGTGGGGCAGGGAGGCCAGGGCTGGGGTCCACCAAGAGCTGCCACAGGTGAAAGCAGATTTATGCCCACGTTCACCACTGGAGCGCCAGTCTTTACTAAATGACCGGCAAGGGATACGCGGTCAGGTGCTCCCGTCCACCCACTGGTGCTCGCCGGAGTCCCCTGGAAACCTGCAAACTCGGGGAAGCGGGGCGCGCAGACCTTCTGGTGCACTTGACCGCGGGAGGAGGTGGTACCGGAGCGTTTCCAAGCAACGGGCCCCGCAGACGCCTCCGCAGGGGGGTGGGGACCCCTGGGCCTGATTCTAGTGGCCTGATCCCTAGGAGGTCACAGAGGCCTTTGGGAGCCTGAGGAAAATGAGGGGCATTCGCTCCAGAAAAATGAAAGAAAAAATGCATATATGAATTTATCCACAGTTTTTGTAGGGGCTTCACGACCCATGAGAGCCCATCCGCAGACCCTAAGCATCAAGACGCCACAATATAGCGCCTTCCCAGGAGCCTCAGCTCCTCCAGCGAGGCCGAGGGTCCGCGGAAGCAGCTTCTCCGCTCTCCCCCACGCAGCCCCCGGCCCAACGCTGCGTCGGGCCGGGCCGGGCCGCTCGGTTCGGGCGCGGGGTAGCCGGCAGCCCCCCAGCAGGGGCGGGGTCTCGGCGTCGCGGTTTCCCAGGGCAGCCGTCTCACCCGGCGATGAGGAAGATGATGCGTAGCGGCTCGGTGGCGATGGTGAAGATGTAGAGGGCGAGCGCGGGCCCGAAGGCGATGAAGGCGCAGCCGAAAAACACAGCCGCCGTCATGGCGACCGCAGAAGCGGACCCTGCGCGCGACCGGGGAGGGAAGGGG